TATATATATATATGTATGTATGAGTGTGTGTGTGTGTGTGTGTGTGTGTGTGTGTGTGTGTGTGTGTGTGTGTGTATACAAATAGGCTATATTATACATTTTCCTCCAGTTATTAAAAAGTAAACATCCGTTTGCCTGACGGACAATTGCATAAATTTACCACAAGATGGCGTCGATGCCTTCAAATATATATATATTTTTTTTTTGCTGAAGCCACTATGTTGCTTGGCAATAAAACAACCTATAATAATGTATTTTCATTAGTACAACTTCAGTGTACTAATCACTAAAAATAAACATTATTTTTTCAGACGTTTCATGTGTTTTTTTTCTTACATGAATATTCATTAGCAGAATGTACATTGTGCTTCCAAATACTATCAATTAGAAACAAATTTTAAAGATCTTAAATAGTTCATTTTCTAAGGACAACTTTTATATTGATGCCTATTTTAACGTTTAAACGTTTTGTATTAGTATATACACATATATATTTACATTAATTTACGCAAACCACACGACTACTTTTATTACTTCTGTAAAATTCTGTTCCTCTTTATGGAATTAAGATGCACGCTATCATCCTCAAACATGCTAACCATTTTGCTACACGCTAATTTAGCTTAAACGGTGAGACTGATATGATTAGCACTAGCTAGCTCATACTTCACCCCAATCACGAGACCTCAGGACAGGGACGTGAAACTGCACATGCTGGTTTTCCTCAGTTCTGGATATTCCTCTTAAATCAGCAGTTTAAGCTCAAACTGCAGCGTTAAAGCTCACCTCAGCAGCTGTTCCCGCCAAATGTGTAAGTTTACTCAGCGGTTTTGTCTCCACAAACTCCAGCTCTGTCTGAATAAAACACGTCAACACTTTTTGGGGGGAACTGTTTACTCTGAGATCTCCAGTGTACAGTAGATCATTGGTTTATTATTAATGCTGATAAAGTGATTCGCTGAGCTGTGCCCCCATCAATAAAAACACTATAGTAAATGTATATAGGGTAACTTATAACACATTTTCACACCTAGTAAACTGGTAGGCCTACTGGTTAAACTGGTTTCATTGTTTTCATTTACATTTTTATGTGTATGAGCACCACACAGAAGTCAATTAATATGAATTCGTCAGATATGCATGTTTTTAAATATAATTTTGAATATGAAATGCTGATTTTATATAACAAAACATCCCTCACTGGTGTGGAATTGGTATGTTTTTTTGTTTGTTTACACTTTATTTGGTAGCTATACTTGTTACAGTGTCACTTATTTAACTACTGATTAAATCGATTTAAATATATGGTTAAAGTTAGAATTAGTTGTGTTTTAGGTTAGCTGCGTTCATTTATGCATAATTATTACTATATAAAATGCAAACAGATGTATGCCAATACATCCAGTTGAAGTCAGAATTATTTTCAACTAAATTATTAGCCCCCCTATTTATTTTTACTCCGTTTTCTGTTTAACAGATATTTTTCAACACATTTCTAAACATCATAGTTTTAATACCTCATCTCTAATAACTGATTTATTTTATCTTTGCCATGATGACAGCAAATAATATTTTAAATTGATATTATTCAAGACACTTCTATACAGCTTAAAGTGACATTTAAAGGCTTAACTAGGTTAATTAGATTAACTAGGCAGGTTAGGGTAATTGGGCAAGTTATTGTGTAACGAGGGTTTGTTCTGTGGACTATCGAAAAATATATAGCTTAAAGGGGCTAATAATATTGTCTTTAAAATAGTGTTTAAAAAATTTAAAACTGCTTCAATTCTAGCTTAAATAAAACAAATAAGACTTTCTCCTGAAGAAAAAATATTATCAGACATACTGTGAAAATTTCCTTGCTCTGTTAAACATCATTTGAGAAATATTTGAAAAAGAGAAACAAATTCAAAGGGGGGGCTAATAATTTCAACTGTACACACACACACACACACACACACACACACACACACACACACACACACACACACACACACACACACACACACACACACATATATATCTATATATATATATATGTATATATATATATATATGTATATATATATATATCTATATATATATATATATATATATATATATAAACGGACTCAAATTTTGACTTCAACTGTATATTGCATATGCAAATTAAATATATGACATACAAGTTCAAGTTTGGATTTTACACATAATTTGTCATATATTC